TGAGTTTATCCAAGTCCATGGAGATGCATTATTTTGTATCAGTGGTTAATCTGGTTTAACTCAGACTTTACTTCTGGGACGTCTTTCCTGTTAGTAGCTTTGTGCACTTATCCCTGATTATGCTACATAGATACAATACTCTCGTCTTCAAAGGTGTATGCTTATAAATTATTATTTTTAGTTTGTGGGCATCTGGTTCTTTGGATTAGTAGCACCTACTGTGGCTAAAGAAGGCCCTTATTTTCCCTGCTTGCTTTTTTTTTCCCTGGTGCACTGAGACAAGGGGTGCTGTGAGAAGGAGTTTTGATAGTTTAGTCTCCGTGCTGCGAAGGTCTCTGTGCGAGTCTGTGCACTCTGGAGGATGTTACTGGTACACGTTTGATAAAACTTCTTCTCGTTTTATAGATAACCAGTTATGAATCTCAGTGTCACCGCTGCTCCCACAGAGACCTGCAGTGAAGAGCTGAGTCATACAGGTGAAGATTGACACGTCTCCCTTTGCAGATGTGAGGGAGCCCCATCGCTTCCTCTGCAGAGAGTCCCGAGCTGCTGCATTCTGTGCCCTGCAAAAGGTTCGGGTGGCCAAGAGGGGGAATGGCTCGGCCCCTGCACCTCTCCTGGCAGCATGCTGGTTCTGGTGCCCAGGGAGGCATATGCCATGACGTCTGCGGGCAGATCCCTCACCGCTTACTCAATTCCTGGAGCAGCAGGGAAGCGGGCAAAGTACAGCAGGCTGCCAAGTCACAGTCTGCTCACTAGATCGCTTGAGAGTCAGCACAAACCTCCTTATCCCCTGCTACAGACGGACTAAACCGCTCAGTAACATCTTCTCTTCCCCTAGCAAAGGTCTTAAAGAGGCAGCTCTGTAGCTTACTTCAGCTTGTGGCACATTTGCCTTATTTTGCCTGTTTACTTATTGTGCCCCAGATCTGCAAACAGCGTTGTGTTTGCCACAGTAATTCCAACCTACATATTTCAGCTGAGAGATCTTTGCAAGATGTGATCGGTGCTGGGGAGGTCCGTCCCCCTACATCCCTGGATTCTGCACAGGGCTATTGCACAAGAGGCTGTGCAATATTTTTTTCCAAAAAAACTGCTAATGAGGAAAAGGAGAGTTATTAGACGTGGGTTTCGCATAGCAGCCTCTTTCATGGAGTGCTGACTAATGGCTACTTCTCCACAAAGAAATAAAAATATCAGATAAAAATAAATCCAATTCTTAAGCCTTTATTCAGGACCAAATAAGCTTCCGCTGTTTGCTCTGACCACTTTGGAAAGCTTGGCATGCATCACTTGCATGGGAGAGCTGTGCCAGAGCTGTGAAAAGCCCTATATGTCTTAACTCTTTTCCTGTGTCTTATATCTTCCTTATTTCCCATTTGCTTTAACTGCATTTCAAGCTTTTTAGAGGGTCTGCCACTGTGCACAGTCTGTGCTAAGTCATTACGGACAGAGAGGATTCTGTTCTTAAATCCTGCTTTGAAAAATCTCTTCATAATATGTCCCTGGAAGAAACTCCCGATTTGTTTATTTTGATTTGTCCTTTGGCCGTGGCTGGACGCCCAGTCGTGGGTCAGCATCTCACTGGCCGAGTACCAGCACAGAGCAATTTGCAGCTCCATGTCAAAGCTCCACTTTGGCCATATCTCCGCAGCATTTCCCAGAGCCGGTCGTCTGTGCTTCAGCTGATGGAGGTGCAAACTGAACTCTGGCTTGCCTGGCTGAGCCTGCCAAGAAAAGCATTAGCTAAGCAGAAACAGCTTGTAGCTGGGGGCAAAGGTGAGCGTGCATTGAGTATCCGCATCTTGATACAGAAAGGATGCAGCTACAATCAAAACAGGGGAAAGGAGAGTGGGCAGACAGACAGCCGCCCGAGGTGACCCAGGAGTACATGCCACGCTGCTCGCTGAGAAAGGCCTCTTTGTCTCCTTGCATTATGCCTGCCTGTTTTGACTGAGACGCAGAACAAATGGGAGAAAACCACCTATATCGCCTTGATGGCATTTTTTCTGTTTCTTGGCATTGCTTTGTTGTGCTCCCAAAGGCCTTGAATGTGTTGGGCCATTGTGTCTATCTCAGCCGCAGCCAAGCAGAGATATTTGTGCAGCTGGCTTTGCAGTTCCCCTCTCCCTAATGCGTAGGCTGGGAGATATAGAAGGTGTCTGAATGCTGGGGCACCTTTCTAACAAGATAATTCACTGCTGAATCACAGCTGGGAGACAGACTGAATTTCTTCCTCTCTGTGTAGGAAGGAGCTGGGAGCAGACTTGGGGAGGAGACCTTTAACCATCACCTACTCCTTTAGCACTGGCTGGTGTGGCTGCCTGATCCCATGTCATATTGTATGAGGCTATTTGTATTGCTCCCCCCTTCCTATTTAGATTACAGCTTGACCAGTGTGACCTTCATTTCCAGACCTTATTTTCAACACAGCTGATAAAACTTTGCTCTGGCAGAAGCCCTGGTTTGTCTCTGAGTATCCCTCAAAGAGACTGGATGGTGTTTCTTATCGGTTTTATGAGGAATGGTCTTATCAGAGTTCTTGGACTTTACCTGGATATGCACAATCCCTTCTTGGCTTTACCACTTTGATAAATTCTGTAACATCCCCTCTGCCCATGGACTACAGCTGACATGATAAAATGGACTTGACTTCCAGTTACAGCTGGTTTTCTTTTCAGACTGACTTTCATATCTGTTTTACGCTGGCAAAACGGTCTGACCGTGGGCCTTGGAGCTATAAGACTGAACATTAGAGATACCAGTTCTGTGTTTCCCTGAACTTTGGCAGCATTCAAAAGATTGGGTTTACGACTTGGCCTCCATATCTACCAAATGTTTGGCAAAATAGCTCTCTTGAGTGACACACCCTGGATTCAGCTCAGGTCTGCTTGGTGGGGCTTTTTGTGGGAAGAGGCAGCTTCCTCCTCCTGCAGTGGGTTCAGGTCCAGCCAGAAGACACCTCGGGTGTTGGCATGAGGTAGTACAGCCCTTTAGCAGACCTGGCTGCTGTTAGCAAGAGGCAATTCTGGTAACAGAGAACGCCTGAAACGTAATGCTTATTTCTCTTAGTTGCCCCTCACTTTGATATCCAACAGGAACAACCTCTGAGCCCACAGGCATGACAGTAGCTTTGGTCACTTTGGGAAATTTGGGACTATGTGAGCTCAAAACCGCTCCCTGCATGAGAGGGCTGAGATAAGCCCCACGTCTGAGCTCCAGTTTTTCCCATTTCACGTTAACTGTGGAGCTTTAAAAGTTAAACAGCAAACCTCTTCTTTTCAGACCCTCTTCTTTCTTTGTGGCTCTCGTGTTCGTTCTCATCCCAGCTCCCTAAGGGGACAACCAAATGCCATTTGCAGTTCACTGCTGTGCATTGCATTTAGTGCCTCGGCCTTACTCTCTCTCAGAGCATGAACCCAGCAGACCAACTTCTTATCAGCTTGACAGGCTGTGACTGTTGTCCTGGTGACCAGCGTAGTTGCACTATCATCATGTACAGAAGGCAGCGAAAGAGATGCCTTGACCCCTGGGTGTAGCCGTGCTTGTGCTTGATATGCCACTGGGATGCATGAAGATAAGATCCAAACCTTGGCCTGCGTGTGTGAAAGATGAAGCAAAAACAGAATGGAGAAGCATGCAAAGTTAATAACTGTAAAATAAGAAATGGGAGTGCGTCTAGAAGTTGCAAATGCTCAGCTCTTCTCAGCATCTGATCTGTGTACCAGTCATCCGAGTGCATTTGTATTTGAGGGATGGTTGCCTGCCAGCCTGCTGTCTCTTTATCTTTCTGTCTTTTTCTACCCACTCCATTTCTTCCATTTCTCACTTGGGTTTACGGACATGAGAAAGAATAATGTTAGTAACACTTCTGAGTCACGTTTTCCATCCAGACACACCGTGCTTAACCAGTTCACACACACATTCCTGTACAATGTCGATTCCAACTCACTAATTGCTCTCGTGAGTTGATCAGGCCAAATTCCTGGTGTGCTCTCACAGATTATCTCCTAGGTCGTTGTAGAAAGCCCCGCTTTGAAGAGTGTACAATCCAAGTGGGAGCCAAGGAACAACAGATGGAAGGAGATGGGTAAGGGAGGACAAAGAAGCGGTGAGACGTCGTTACTCAGCACACAGGCAACGGTGTCAGCACACCAGCTGCCTCAGGCTTTGGACAGCTTTTGCAGGCTACGCACGTGTTTGTGTTTTAGCGTTGGCTGGTTTGCTTAGATGCTGTCAGCTTTCAGCCATCGAAGACAACGTGGGATGGGGCAACCTATATAGAGCCAGAGCCTGGCTAGCAGAGGCCCTATGTTAGTTAGGGGATAAGAACATATTCAGGTCTTTTACCTTTGAAAGGCTTGTCACAAGGCTGCTGGTTTCTGGGCTGAGTGGGGACAGCTTTAACCTCTGGAGTCCCAGAGGCTCGTGTGCCCTGTGTTAGGTGTGTGGTGGCATGGTGGTGTAGCCATGGTTGCTACAGGGAGGAAGTGTCCAGCTAATCCCCAACCCAGCTAATCTTCCACGGTTGATTGAGAGTTGAATATGATTAGTTTACTGTAAAAGCTGGCCTTTCTGAACACTTATTACCAGGCATAACTCCACAGACATGGAGTGTTATGTGTCTCTTCTTCAGCCTGGAGAAGAGAAGGCTCTGGGGACACCTCATAGCAGCCTACCAACATCTGAATGGAGCCTACAGGAGAGCCAAAGGGGGACTCTGTCGCGAAGTGTAGTGCCAGGAAGACGGGTAACGGTTTTAAATTGAAAGAGGGGAGATTTAGATTAGCTATTAGGAAGAAACTCTTTCCTGTGAGGGTGGTGAGACACTGGAACAGGTTGCCCAGAGAAGCTATGCATTCCCCATCCTTGGAGGGGTTCAAGGCCAGGGCGGATGGGGCTTTGAGCAACCTGGTCTGGTGGGAGGTGTCCCTGCCCAGGGCAGGGGGGTTGGAACTAGATAATCTTTAAGGTCCCTTCCAACTCAAACCATTCTATGACACTAACAGTCTCACACTAGACCCAAAATCATGGGAAAGTACGTCTGATGTGCTGCCTGTCTTGTTTTGCTTCTATATCTATGCCCTTAGCATTGCCCGTGCCTGTGTTTGCTTATCTCTGACCTCCAGAATTGCTTCTATATCTATGCCCTTAGCATTGCCTGTGCCTGTGTTTGCTTATCTGTGACCTCCAGGGGCCTTGCAGCAGATAGGATGGTCTGCTGGACCTCCCCACGCTCTGCTCACATCCCTGTGTCTCCAAACAACAGGCTGGATGGGGCTTTGAGCAACCTGGTCTGGTGGGAGGTGTCCCTGCCCAGGGCAGGGGGGTGGAACTGGATGATCTCTAAGGTCCCTTCATCCCAAACCATTCTGTGAGTCTATAATGTCGTGCGGCTCCGGCTCTTCCCGCAGGGGGAGCATTGGGGGGGGGGGGGGGAGTTGAGGCAGCAGATCTGTCTCCCAGGAAGGTCTCCAAGGTGGTGCTTCAGGGCAGGCTGTGTTTCAGTGGTGGTCGGTGGGGAGAAGGGCTGTACTTGTGAACAACATGAGTCAGCCCCCATGGCAGGGCTGCCGGTGGGAGGTGCCACCTCTCCTGGCTGCGGGATCAGAGCCCTGCTGAGTAATGAGGAGAGGTTTAAGGATGTTGTGGGATGGAGCTTCTGTCATGTAAAATTCATGGTGCTAGCAGGCCATCTTACATAAAACATTACTCTTCCTGAAGAAGACACAAAGTCTTCATTTCATGCTTGTAAAAGCCAAAACACAACAAACCACCAAAGAAGGGATGTTTAAAGAATGAGGGAACTCAAGGCTGTCTTGTGTGTGCTGGTCTGATGTGACCCTGAATCTGCTCTCACAGCGGCTTTGCGCTGGAATGACGCGTGCATGTCACCTGTGAGGAAACACAGCAGTGAGGGGAACATGGCTTTGCTTAGAGGAGGAGAGGACATGCTTTCTCATTAGCAGGAATGAAGGAGTGCATTCCTCACCTCTGCAACAGCTTCAGCTTCTGGGGTGGCTCCGTGAGCTTCGTGGTGCTGGTGGGCAACAGAGCAGACCTGCCCCAGCTCTCTTGTTACGGAACAGCTGATATGGGTCCTGTTACACTTCTGCTTTTTGTTTGCCTGCCTGCCTGTGCCTATTGTCCTGTGCTCATTAGTACTTCTTCTGTTACTGAGAGCCTTGTTTTCCTTGGGCGGCTCAGAACTCTCCTGGATGTTGTGCATACTGAAATTTCTAAGGGACTTGTGAAAGTCCCCTGTTCCTCGAGGCAGTAAGGCATGGTTATATGGCCTGCCCTTTGTAACGTGAGTTCTTCCTCTTATGGGAGGCCTGATAAATGAAGAAGAAGCTATTGTTTGTTGTTGTTATGGAAGGCTCTTGAGATAAATGGGAACCTGGCACCAACAACTCACTGTGTAGTTTCGGTAGGATAAGTGAAATGGTGGGAATGCAGTTTTCACCACTAATGAATGCAGTGAATAATTGCTGCCTTTGGTTCTTTTTCAAGGCAATATTAGTTTGCTGGTTTTAACAATAAGACAGAGGACCTGTGTGTCAGTAAGCGATAAAGTACATGTTATTTTTGTATGAATCCATCCCAAAAAAGTATAGTTGCAGAAAATGCAGTGCAGCATCACATATGATGTGTTGCAGGTGATGGGTAGAGGAAGTGACCCATGTGCCAGTCTTACGTGAGCGATGGAAGAAAAATGGGAAGTTTAGTGTGTAAGAAGCCATCTTCATGCTGTTTATCCGAAACCACTGTTTTTCCTGGGAGCAGTGTTGGAATCATGTGGCACAGCAGCATTAGGTGATGACACAGCAGTGCATGGCTAATCCCCCAGCCAGCTTGCATCACCCAGGCTGTTCTGGCAAGTTTGCAGGGTACGTCCCATGTTCTTAGACTACCCCTTGGCATCCCTGTGTGTGGTTCTCACTCACCACCCCTGAACACACGAAGATGAGTTCCCAAGCTGTAAGATGGCTTAGCCAGATGCCTGCCTGTCCCCATTTGTTTGTGCCAACTCTGTTTGCAGGAAAATGTACAGTTGGCTGCCCTGTGTGGAGAATTTAGCTCGTGTAGCTTTATATGCAGTGCATACCTAATGCTCTGTGACAGCATGGTTCTTGCTGGAGAAAGAAATATTATTTGTGGTTTGGAAGCTGAGTTGGATCTGGTCCAGTTCTCTTTGCCTATGTTGTTTCTTTTGAAGTTTTTGTTTCTTTTGGGGGGGGGAGGAGTCACCTGGATGATACCAGCAATTAGCTGAGCAAAGCAGACCACCTGGGATGGGAGATTCAGGGCATGAGATCAGTTAGAAAGGACAGATGAAAACAGCTTTTCTGAATTTGAGTGTATGCAGCTTGGTGGTGGGTTGCCAAAGAGGCAATTGGGACCCCAAAGGGGCAGAGGCAGAAAAGGTGTCAGCAAGCACCAGGCCTTCCCAACCAGCTCAAGCCCTTCCCTTTCCCTGGTTGCAGGAGCAGCCTGTTCCCACGCTTTCCCTCCTCTCGGCAGCAAAATCCGATGTTGCTTGCAGGGTTTTGGAGCCAAGAGCCAGCAGTGTCTCCCAGCTGTGCAGAAGCCCTGGGCTAGTGGTGGTGTCCTGGGGAGGTGGGCAAGCACGATTCCTATGTGGGGCTCCCCTCTTCTCCAGATGAGCCAGGTGGAGCCAGCAACTTTTGCTGGGGCCGCTGCCAGATAGGCGACCCAAAAATGCATAAGACTCATCCGCTGTAGAGCTAACCCTGTGACCTCACAGACCATATATCTCTGATTTGTTTCATGTGGGTGGAAAGTCAGAAGGCCTGGGGACCAGCTTCTGACACTTTTTTGGTGGTTAATTTCTGGAAATTTAGGCTCTGAAATACATACAGGGACATCCGAGCTACTCATTCTGAATTCCTCCTGTTGTTGATAGAGAGGATCAGGCAGTGCGGGCATGCTGCTTGACTAGCCTGTTTAAAGTCTATATCTGCTTGAGAGGAAGGGCTGTGCCCATACCTGTGCCTTTTTTTGGGTTATAAAAGCAGTCTGGATTATCAGCAGAGATGTAGACTTCTTCACGTTGGCCATGCAAGGTTAGTAAAGGGATTCACATCCCCAGAACTGGAATCACCTGTTGACTCAAGCACTGGGCAAAGACTTGGGATTCCCCAGACAGGGCAGATGATAATCAGGCAGGCAGAGACCTAGAAACAGAGGGTCCCTGTTAGGTCTCAGCCATAGGGGCTCCCTCCCCATTGAGGGGATCTACCCTGGCTTGGTTGTCTGATGGATCTGGATTGGGGTTGTGACCACTAACCTTCTGAATGAGAAGCTGGTACAGTTGTCTTAAGTTGATTTGTTTGTGCCAAGGAGGTAAGAATAAGTCTCAGAAAATGAACTTGAACCTCTGGACAAGTTTTCTCTTGCTGAACTTGGCTCTCTTGCTGACTTTTGGATAGCTGCTGAGATCTTGGGTCTACCCTTGGAGGAAGTGCAAAGATCTAAGCGCAGTGTTTTCTATCATCCTTCAAACTCTGCCTGATTCCCCACCTCCCATAGTCCCCTGGCACCTTTTCTGCTCCATATCCTTGTTCCTCGTTACCTGCATCACTGTCTTGCCTTTTCGTAGCCTCTCCGTGCTCTTACCTGGTTTGGTTTGCTCACTGCTGCATGTGCTTTGTTTTATTGACTGCCAAGGCATGCGACCTGCAAGGTCTCCTGATTGAGTCTGACTTTACCTTTTAAAAAGAAGTCTGAGGGCTCAGTAACCCACCCAAAGAACTGAAAAAACAAACCACCCCAAACAAGACAGACAGGAAAATATACAGTGGATTTTTCTGTGCTCTCATAAATAAAAGTCAGACAATCACATGGTTTTCTAAAAATAACATCCGTAGCGAGTGTTTTGGTAGGAATAATACTGACCTAGTTTGCATGTTGCCCACATGCAAAAAATAAGTTGATGAGGAAAACTCAATTGCCTGACGTGGTATTTGCATTTGCTGAACCAGATCTGAATTGAGAGCTGGTTAATTAGATCTTACATTCTCCTCTCGGTGGCCCCTCCGGAGGTTTCAGGGAAGAGGGGAAGGGGGGATGCTCGCTGGCAGCGTGACCCACAGCAGTCACTTGCCTTCTACGTGAGCTGGACGTGTGGGTTTTGCCCATGTGGTGCAGTCAGTGGGGGTCTGTATGAGCAGAAGTCTTCTTCTGTAGACCAGTCTGAGATGTTCATGCTGGAGAGGGCTGGAGAAACGGTGGGAGAAAGGGCAGAATTTCTCTGTAATCAGAGGACCTGAATTGTTGTGATTTTAGCTTTCTTTCTCCATCTGTGAGGCAGATCAAAGCATTTTGGTATTGAAGGAAACCTCCTTTGACTGTCCAGCTCCTGCCTGCCCTAGAGACTTAGTCTGTGCTCCTGTCCTTGTCCCTGCAACCAACACTGCAGCATAGCCTTGGGGTGGGAGCTGTGCTTTGGTGGGACAGAAAGTGTCTTGCACTAGTCTCTGCCTGCCAGTTCCTTCTCATCCCACTTGGGGAGATGCTGCTTGGGTGCTGGCGCAGATGTGGACCTGCTCCTGTGAGCAGCTCAGCGTCAGTGACAGCAGCCATCAAGGGCTGGCATCAAGCTGGCATCCCTCACAGTGATGGACACCCTCAAGATCCCCTGAACACCAGTCTGGTGAGCATCATTGGTTAATATGAAAGGTTACTGGGCCTGGCTGGTGGAGGAGCCCACTAGGATCTTGGGGAGATGAGGAGTGTGATTGTAGACAAAATGGATCAGTAGCAGAGGTCTCTGGGGTCCTTACTCCAGGGCTGACCAGCCTCTCTGTCCCCCTGAGCCACATGCCACCATCATTATGTTATTGAGTGCCACAGGATGCACTTCCCATCCATCTCTTGAAGACCTGGCAGATGGAGAAGTGTCCGATGCGGTTCACTGGTAGTACACGGCATCGCCTCATCAAGGCCTCCTGAGCTTCCCAGGGCTGATGGACGTGCGCTGTGCCTGCAGCTGGATCTCATTGCGACCTGGCAGTG